GAACTGGATGATCCTCTCCATGCAGAATCCTGCCTGTTTCATGAAGTGGGAGTGGTCAAATGGCAGGGCATGGCCTTTGGGGTTCCACACCAGATTTTATCACCTGGGCAATGTGGGCTGAATTATATAATTGGTTTACTCATCTACTGAAGGAGTGGTCATTCCTGCCTTAAAGAGTTGCCCTCATGAGGTTCATTCATGCTCCACGTAACATTTTAGTCCGTGGCTGACCGTATATATGACGATGGTCCTATAAGGAGCATATAGGCTCGCCCATGTAGCCTATACATGTATAGTAGCCTCTACTATCTAGTTTTGTGTAAGTGTACACTGATGTTTGTACAATGAAACCGAAATTGGCTGAGGGTACTTGTCCTAGAATGTACTTAAGTAGCATGCATGACTTAGGATAGCAGAGGTGAGGGTATTCATTAGGGTCTTAGGGACCTCAGCATTATTGAGGGTTGGAACAGTCCTGGGCCATTCTGGCCATTCTCATCAGAATCAAGGGAAATAGCAGGTAAAGTGGTTTTTCAGATTTTAATGAGGTACATTTATTACTTCAGGTTTTTTGTAAGTGCGTTGTAGTCCACATTATTCTTTGACTGGAGTTTGTCCCAGTTGTTTTATTTGCTGTTTTAGGAGGACTGCTTACATGTAGGCAAAGCTGTTTTCCCAGGACCAGCAGTTGGCATAATGGCTATGTTGCTGGACTCCCACGTAGTTGACCATGGTTTGAGTCCCAGACTTGGTGGCTTAAACTCACACTGGGTATGTGTGCGTGCGTGTGTGTGTGCCCAAGATCCTGAGAGGAGAATGGAGAAGGGATTGTGATGTGGCCATGCCCCCTGGGGGGTGATTTCTCGCTTCTGTCTCTCTGTCTCTTTCTGGCAAGCACATGCACCCTATAGCAAAAATACTCTCAAAACAAAAAAAAAAAAAAAAAGAAAGAAAGAAAGAAAGAAAAAAAGAAAAGAAAAAAAAAGCTGGTTCTCAGGACAGAATCTTAGACTAACAGGGAATGTGAGTGGAAAGATCATGGGACCTCTTCATGTAACACATGCAGAAGCCAAAACCCCACGAGGGAGGTGGCTCTGGGTGGCACTGCTGGCCCCGGAGAGCAGCATGGATGTTGAGACACATGTGTATACATGAGGCTAGCACCCTCTAGGCCTCAGGCAGGGACTGGGCAGCTTCCCTGACCCAGCCCAGGCCAGCTTAGCCATTCCTTCTGCCTGAATCTGTGCCAAGCCCACTTCCTGTTTTGATGACCATCTAACATGTATCCTAAGGGAATTTTCAATGTTGTTGAAGGAAATAACCAAGGCTCTGTAGGAAATAATTTAAATTGTTTTATTTATTTATTTTAAGGTTGTGTGTGTGTGTGTTTTGTTTTGTTTTCGTTTTTGCCATAGAGTGTGCATGCTCTCCAGAGAGATAAGGAAAGTGAGAAATCACCTCCAGGGGGATGGCTATGCCACAGTCCTTTCTCCTCCATTCTCCTCTCAGGATTTTGGACATACATGCACATATACTCAGCATGATTTTTCAAGCTAGGTCTGGGACTCAAAACCACAGAGTTGGCCTTGTGGGATCCAGTGCCTTAACCACCATGCCACCTACTGGTCCTGAAACTGTTTATTTTAAACACAAAATTAGTGACCAGGCCCAGGAAAACACAAAAGTGTCTTCCAGGGTGTTCAGATGTAATGGTTCTTTTTATTAAGTTCTGAGAGCATATGACACAGACACGATTACAAATCAGCATAGGAGTCTTTGCATTGGTTTGACCCAAAAGGGTTGGCCATCTGAAAGCAGGGAGCTTATAGTTTACAGGTGGATTTAGAAATTTAGGGATTGGTAATTGGATAAAAACACAGTCTTTCTTCCCAAAAAGACTTGGAATCAGCAAAGGAATGCCTGTGTTTTACTTAAACAGAGATAAGAAAGCTTTACTGAGTATCATAAAAGGCCATGTCAGGAACAGGAGGTACGGAGCATCCCACAATCACTGGACCAAGGGAGCCTGCTATAGCAAGGTTGTTTGTAGATGTGACTTCCCCAGTCCCTTGGAAAGTATCTTATAATAGGAAAAGTAGTCAGAATTTTGTCCTTGGTGTATAAAGAAAGGGAATCAAGACAGTAAGGGGAAGGAAGCCTGGGTTTTGAATAGGGAGATGTGGCTTTGGTCCCAGTTTTTACATGTTCCCTTTAGTCAATTTACTTTCCTTGACTGAACTCTACAACAAGGTGATCTCTATGACCTTAATATGTGGGATGGCTAAGATAGAGGATGTCATTGACTTGACCAAATGGTCAGACTCTAGATTTGTCTATGGCAGGGGTTTCTGCCTGTCAGTTCAGTTGTGATTTCTATCACAGAGAATGCTGTAGTAGCCACCTTTAGGCATAGGGTTTTTTGTTTTTGGATACATTTTCAGAGAGAATTACTGGATCAGAGGACAGAAACATCCTTATGGTTGTTGTGTGTTGCTATATTTCTTTTTAGACACAGTGTAACAGTTTCCAGATTGTTGTTGGCTATGTGTGAGATAGCAGTTTAACCCAATAGTATAGTCATTATTTAATACTTTGGTAAGCTAGTTGGCATAAATGGTACTTTTAAATTGTTCACAATCATTAGACCTACCTTTCTGGGGGCTGTCTACTATGTTGAACATGTTCACATACTTTGTCTCATCTACCTTTCACAGTAAACCTATCAGGGAAAAGTAGCTCATCTAAGTTTGTGAGCAGGATTTGACCTCAAAGCGCATTCTCTGTCTGGGTGCTTGTCCATGCTTAAATTTGTGTGTGGCTACTAGAGAGTGTGAAGTTTTGTTTGTGTGCTTGTTTACTGGCTGCATTTTGAGGTTTGTGAATTTTGTGCGATGTGTTCTTTTTGTAGAAGAGATTTTTTTCCTAAAGAAATATTTATTTTTAATTTATTTATTATTACTCAGTTTGACCAGAGAGAGAAAGAAAAAGAGGGGGAGTGAGAAAGCAAGCCACCATGTCCAGGACTCGAACTGCAGTTGATCCTATGGGAGTTGAGCACCCCAACTACTGTGCAACCTGCTGGCCCTGTAGAAGAGATTTTTAACCCTCTGTTACAGTAGAAGCAACAATTGAGGTGCTTCCACTACAACTGGGAGAAGACTCTGAACTCTAGGGTATCACCTATTTCCCAGCTCTCTGAAACTGATTTTTTTCCCCATGCAGCGGCCCTCCAGGCCCTAAAGCGCAAGAAGAGGTATGAAAAGCAGCTGGCACAGATCGATGGCACATTATCAACCATTGAGTTCCAGCGGGAGGCCCTAGAGAATGCCAACACCAACACCGAGGTGCTCAAGAACATGGGCTATGCTGCCAAGGCCATGAAGGCTGCCCACGACAACATGTAAGTGTCTGTCTGTTACGGGAAGGAAGTGGCCATGGGGCTGTGCAGTGCTGGGCCTAGAGTGCCTCACACTCCACAAAGCCTTGCACAGATCCCTTGACATATTCATTTAAGCACCTGAGTTTATTTTAATTTGCTTTTTTGGGAACTCCTTCTAAAATGGATTATGTACTTGCTGCAGATTCATGGAATGAAACAATATTTTCTGAGTAATTCAAGATCATTTGTAATGAGCATAATTTCAAGGTAGAAAGGTCCTTAAGAAATCCTGTCACCCAGACTTCTTATTATGGTAAAGATGGTAAAGCCACGTCCCAGAAAAGGAAGCTGACTCCCTGCCTATGGGCGACTATGTGTGAGCTTGTATAGAATTGGGATTAAAATTAGTGTTCAGGACCAGCCAGTGGCATAATGGTTAAGGCAATTGGCTCCTCCATGACCAACTGTACCCTAGACCCAGTGGCTTGAAAAACACACTGGGCGCATGTATGCATGCCCAAATCCCAAAAGCAAGAAGAATGGAAGAGGAGGGACTGTGGTACTTTCTTACTTTCCTTCATTTTTTTCTCCCAGGACCACATGCTACCTCTTGCAAATTAAAAAAAAAAAGAAAAAGAAAAAGAAAAAGCTACTGGCCCAGGTCCTGCGGTCTCATCTGATGTATTTACTCATTTGTGTATAGGATGGGATTGGGCCACCTAACTTTGCTAACCCATATTTCCTTAGGACATTTCCATCCCCTTGATTCTGTGGTTCTGTATTTGAAAGGGGAGGAAGAAGGTAATAAGGACAAGTAATACCTCACAGGAAGCAGTTGTAGGGGTAGGGCTGGGAAGTTGACTGTGTGGAGGAGGGTTTCTGTCCTGCATAGCAGACCTTCTTTACATACACAGACCAACCCGTGTGACATCTGCCTATTTCATTTAAAGGGACATCGATAAAGTTGATGAGTACAGAGAATGCTGTAGTAGCCACCTTTAGGCATAGGGTTTTTTGTTTTTGGATACATTTTCAGAGAGAATTACTGGATCAGAGGACAGAAACATCCTTATGGTTGTTGTGTGTTGCTATATTTCTTTTTAGACACAGTGTAACAGTTTCCAGATTGTTGTTGGCTATGTGTGAGATAGCAGTTTAACCCAATAGTATAGTCATTATTTAATACTTTGGTAAGCTAGTTGGCATAAATGGTACTTTTAAATTGTTCACAATCATTAGACCTACCTTTCTGGGGGCTGTCTACTATGTTGAACATGTTCACATACTTTGTCTCATCTACCTTTCACAGTAAACCTATCAGGGAAAAGTAGCTCATCTAAGTTTGTGAGCAGGATTTGACCTCAAAGCGCATTCTCTGTCTGGGTGCTTGTCCATGCTTAAATTTGTGTGTGGCTACTAGAGAGTGTGAAGTTTTGTTTGTGTGCTTGTTTACTGGCTGCATTTTGAGGTTTGTGAATTTTGTGCGATGTGTTCTTTTTGTAGAAGAGATTTTTTTCCTAAAGAAATATTTATTTTTAATTTATTTATTATTACTCAGTTTGACCAGAGAGAGAAAGAAAAAGAGGGGGAGTGAGAAAGCAAGCCACCATGTCCAGGACTCGAACTGCAGTTGATCCTATGGGAGTTGAGCACCCCAACTACTGTGCAACCTGCTGGCCCTGTAGAAGAGATTTTTAACCCTCTGTTACAGTAGAAGCAACAATTGAGGTGCTTCCACTACAACTGGGAGAAGACTCTGAACTCTAGGGTATCACCTATTTCCCAGCTCTCTGAAACTGATTTTTTTCCCCATGCAGCGGCCCTCCAGGCCCTAAAGCGCAAGAAGAGGTATGAAAAGCAGCTGGCACAGATCGATGGCACATTATCAACCATTGAGTTCCAGCGGGAGGCCCTAGAGAATGCCAACACCAACACCGAGGTGCTCAAGAACATGGGCTATGCTGCCAAGGCCATGAAGGCTGCCCACGACAACATGTAAGTGTCTGTCTGTTACGGGAAGGAAGTGGCCATGGGGCTGTGCAGTGCTGGGCCTAGAGTGCCTCACACTCCACAAAGCCTTGCACAGATCCCTTGACATATTCATTTAAGCACCTGAGTTTATTTTAATTTGCTTTTTTGGGAACTCCTTCTAAAATGGATTATGTACTTGCTGCAGATTCATGGAATGAAACAATATTTTCTGAGTAATTCAAGATCATTTGTAATGAGCATAATTTCAAGGTAGAAAGGTCCTTAAGAAATCCTGTCACCCAGACTTCTTATTATGGTAAAGATGGTAAAGCCACGTCCCAGAAAAGGAAGCTGACTCCCTGCCTATGGGCGACTATGTGTGAGCTTGTATAGAATTGGGATTAAAATTAGTGTTCAGGACCAGCCAGTGGCATAATGGTTAAGGCAATTGGCTCCTCCATGACCAACTGTACCCTAGACCCAGTGGCTTGAAAAACACACTGGGCGCATGTATGCATGCCCAAATCCCAAAAGCAAGAAGAATGGAAGAGGAGGGACTGTGGTACTTTCTTACTTTCCTTCATTTTTTTCTCCCAGGACCACATGCTACCTCTTGCAAATTAAAAAAAAAAAGAAAAAGAAAAAGAAAAAGCTACTGGCCCAGGTCCTGCGGTCTCATCTGATGTATTTACTCATTTGTGTATAGGATGGGATTGGGCCACCTAACTTTGCTAACCCATATTTCCTTAGGACATTTCCATCCCCTTGATTCTGTGGTTCTGTATTTGAAAGGGGAGGAAGAAGGTAATAAGGACAAGTAATACCTCACAGGAAGCAGTTGTAGGGGTAGGGCTGGGAAGTTGACTGTGTGGAGGAGGGTTTCTGTCCTGCATAGCAGACCTTCTTTACATACACAGACCAACCCGTGTGACATCTGCCTATTTCATTTAAAGGGACATCGATAAAGTTGATGAGTTAATGCAGGATATTGCTGACCAGCAAGAACTTGCTGAGGAGATTTCAACAGCTATTTCAAAACCTGTAGGGTTTGGAGAAGAATTCGACGAGGTAAGTGGTTTCATACAGATCACAGAAGTTTCACAAATGACACTGAGGCCACCCCTTGATGTGTTCTTGAAGGCTCTCAGACAGGTGGTGTGTGGTTTGGAAATCACCAGTTCTTACCCCTCCAGAGACAGGAACATAGACAGGGCATGGTATTCCCTGAACTGTGGGTCTTGAGTGACGCTTCCACTATTTAGGGTAGAATCTTAGAAAGAAAAAAAGAACCTTCATGAGGACCCTTCAGCAGGCTTCAGGTCAGTAATTGGTTTCAACAAATAGTACAGCTGCCACCCCGGAGAGCTCTGTCTGGATCTCAGCCATCTCCCAGTGTCTGTTTTGTAGTAATGTGGGGGCCTTGAGCCTCGGGTTTCTAAAAGTCCAGTACCGGTCCCCACTGAAGATACTTCATTGTGCCTTAGAGCTGAGTTCCTTCAAAGTCACCTTCCTTCCACTGAACCTGACTCTGTGCTTTCTGACTCCCAGTTATATAGTGAAAACAGCTATTCCCAGCATCAAGGCTTTCCTACTGAAGGTTCAGGTGCTGATTAAGTTAATTTTGATCTTCAAATATCCATGAGCATTCACTCAATCTGCCTGGCTCCAAAAAAGAAATATTGAAAAGCAACAAGTGCTTCTCCCAAGATGCCCACAGTCCTAACACAAGACCAGACATCATACAACAGCAATGGCTCAACTGTGCATGTGTGACATTCACCAGTAGAAGCTCGTTTAGGATGTTTGAATGGAACCTGAAGTTCATCTCCCTTCTGGTCTTTCCAGAAGGGTGTGAGTGTCACTAAGCACCGGGGAAGAAGGGAACTGCTGGGTCTGGGATTCCCAGGATGGGCTCTAACTATTGTGTTTCTTTTTACCAGGATGAGCTCATGGCGGAATTAGAAGAACTAGAACAGGAGGAACTAGACAAGAATTTGCTGGAAATCAGTGGACCCGAAACAGTCCCTCTACCAAATGTTCCATCCATAGCCCTGCCATCGAAGCCCAGTAAGTGCTGCTTGTCTAAGGTCCTGACATACCCATGATGCCACATGCCGGGTGGGCGGGTGATCTTGTGATTGGTTGGCCTCAGTTTGGGTCCAGAGCTTGCCCAGGGTTGAGAATGAAGTAGAAACCCTTATGATGGCCATAGAGACTGCCCTTTCCTAGTTACTCTCTAGAGCAGCGTTTTTCAATGTGGCACTGATGACATGGCCACATAATAATTTGGGCAAGGATGGGTGGCTGTCCTGTGTATTGTGGCTGTTTAGCAGCACCTCTCATTTCTACCCACTAGATGCCATAGCACCCCCTGAGTTGTGACAAACAGAAGTGTCTCCAGACATTGCCAAATGTCCCTGGTAGGGGTGGAGTCACTCTCAGTTGAGAACCAGTATTCTAGAATGACTTTTCCTATATCACCAAATGAGAGGAAATTCTAGGCACTATGGTAAGGCATGAGAGTTTAAGTCCAGGACAGTCTCCTGTCTTGTGTCCTATGCTGTGTACACCAATGAAAGCCTGGGCCTCACAGGCAGCCCTCGGGGGAAAGAGATAGGTTTGGCTTGTTTAGAGACCTGGTTCTGTAAAACTTTCATTTCCTTCTTTCTCTTCTTTCTCCCTATCCTATTTTTATAGTATTTCAGCCCTGGGTAACACTGTTGCACACAAAACTTCTAGAAAAGGTGAAGCAATTTGATTTGGCATGGAGAGGGTACAGGGACCCATGTGTTGCCCGGCTGTAATCATCTCCCTCCCCTCCCTGCCCCTTGTAGAAAGACCAGAGCCAGCTGCTTGGAGTGGAGAGTGGGTGGAGGTGGCCCAGCAGGCCACCTGGGCATGTGTAAAGATGCTTCTATTAAGCTGAAGTAGAGTTGGGGGTTGGCAAGGGTTAGGACTCTCATGTGGTTCTTCATGCTCTCCCTCCACCTGAGCTGCTCTGGGACCAAGGCTTTGCTGGGAATCCTGGTGGACTCTCAGGGTAGAATCCTTCTTGTCTTACCTGGCCTACTGGCAGAATAGGTGCTGTGGAAGGTGTGCCTGGTTTTCTGAGTTTGCTGTTGCAGCTTTTAGGCACCAAGAAGCAGTTGCCGGCAGCCGGGAGAGGAGCTGCCTGGGCGGGCAGGATGATGTAGACACCATGTCGCACAGCCCTGGCACCCAGCCAGCATGTGTTGAGAATACCACAGCCAGCCCTCCTAATAGCCTCTTCTCTCTTTTCACAGCCAAGAAGAAGGAAGAGGAAGATGACGACATAAAGGAATTGGAGAACTGGGCCGGAACCATGTAATCGGTCCAGCTCAGACTGGGCCCAGACAGACTCTGGTGGCCTGCGCAGCGGGCAGGCGTGTATGTGTGCGGGGCAGGCAGGATGTGGTGCAGGCAGGCTCCATCGCTATC